TTTGTACACTAATTTGACATTTTGTACACTGATTTGACATTTTGTACACGAACCAGACATTTTGTACACGAATGTGACATTTGTACACTAATTTGACATTTTGTACACCTTTTGGTCATTTTGTACACGAATTTCTGTACACGATTTTGACATTTTGTAACCTGATTTGACATTTTGTACACTGATCAAACAATATGTACACGAATGGGATTTTCGTATATATAATATAAAATAGAAGCAAAAATGAATGAAGCGCAATATGAAATTGGTTTCTTATAAACGCAACATGAATTGCCGCTTCAATAGAAATGCACCAGGAAAAATGGGAATTTGGAATGTGATTTTTTGTGTTTTTTTTGCGAAAATGATGTGACAATGTGTTTCCTAGTTATGCCATGGTGCTTTGCATACTGTCATAATTTGCTTTTTGAAGTCACACACTCGGTTGTTTTAATGAATGGAGTATAAATATTTTTAATTAGTTCAAACTCAACCTAATAAATATAATTAAACGGAATTTGCATATTATTATGGACATTCGTTATTTTATCTGTTTGTATTTTTGCTGATTAATATTTTACATGTTCGGGGAACATCAGGACTTCCGCGCGCGCGGCGCGATTCCTCTTCCACCACTCTGCCTATGGCATATAGGGCTGCCTGGGTTTCCGCCACAAAAGAAAGGACTTTCTTCCTCTCCCACAACACTCCCTCATATGCATCAAACACGCAAAAGAAGTAGTTTGGCTTCGAAATGTAATTGAATAAGCACTTCCAATTGCTATTGCGAAACCTAATTCATAGACGTGCACATTCAAATCGAATACATCCAAACATATACAGCTGTTACAGTACTCATGAATAATCGGCTCAATGGGATTCAGCTTGTGATTTCGTTTCAAATTAAGCTCCGAAAAAAATCCAAATACAACAACAGAACTCTTTTGAATTTATTTCAAAATTCAAAAAGAACGATGCAACTGATTCCACCGTTAAAATTACATGTACACACACATATAAATAGATATGGTTGGTTGGAATATGTCAACAATCAACTATAGTGACATTTGGTGTATCAACTTCATCGAATTAAATGGGTGACAATATTCAATGACTTCAAAATTTCATGAAAAACACACAAGTGTGAACAGTGCACAGTGCACACGTTTTTTTTTGTTTCAAAATATTTTTTTGAATATCAAATCATGGACGAAGTTCAGGCTCTGCAGATCCCGAATATCAAATACGTAATGCTTATAAATTGTATGGTGTTTCCAGTCTCACCACTTTTCACCACAAACAGCCGGAGCATTAATGTGAATGACGCATTACAAAGTGACTTTGACAGCGAATGTCAATGTATCAGTATCTCATTTATAGTGTAAAAGTGACATGAAAATATTTCTGGTCCCAGTTGCGTTGTTCTTTCACACACACTGTTTATAGCCAAATAAATATTTGTTTTGAAATTAAATTCTCATGAAAACCAGATGGCGAGATCACCATTGTGCATGACCAAGGCTTCGTGATTGCAAACCCTAGCACGCAGTATATTTAAGGCTCGGTATAATATACCAGCATATCGCACACACACGGCTCCCCCACACACTTCTCTCGCGCGCAAACGGTTGCGTACACAGCCATCGCAACCAATTCAGAAACAAAACTTTGCTGTGAACGCAACCGTTTGCGCACGAGAGTAGTGTGTGCGGCAGCTGTGTGTGCGCGATATGCTGGTATATTATACCGAGCCTTAAATGTACTGCGTGCTAAGGTATGCTATCACGAAGCCTTGTGCATGACAATTCAATGTTTCATGTGAAGGAAAGTATTTTTAAATTCTATTTAGATAAGAAATTGCAACCTGTTTCAATTTGTTTTAACTCAAATATACGGAATTGTCAATTCTGAAGTCATCTTGTGGTGAAAATAATTCTTACCGATCAATTCAGATACAAAAATGACAATTTTATTCATCAGTGTATAATATGTCTAATTCGTGTACAAAATGACCGAAAAGTGTACAAAATGTCTGATTCGTGTACAAAATGTCAAATCAGTGTACAAAATGTCAAATTAGTGTACAAATGTCACATTCGTGTACAGATTCGTGTACAAAATGTCAAATCAGTGTACAAAATGTCAAATTAGTGTACAAAAATCGGTGTACAAAATGTCACATTCGTGTACAAAATGTCCGATTCGTGTACAAAATGTCAAATCAGTGTACAAAATGTCAAAATCGTGTACAAAGGGGATTTTCCCATCATATTATTTCTTTAAAACAATAGCAAATTTGAAAATTTTCAAAAATACTCAAGAATTAAACTTTTAAAAAGAGCTCGGTGCCGCATCGATTCAAGTGCCGCACTTTTGCAGTGCCTATAACAGCTCTGGTGATGAACTCAAAACGAAAAAATTCTCCAACGAATAAGAGAGAAAGCGAGAGATCATTAAACTGTGTCTGTTGATGAAATGAAGATTGGCGTGTGCGAATGTGTAAAGTTGCCATAAATACCACACATCGCACGCAAACTTGTGCAAAAATTACTTTGTTGAAGTTTTCTAATTGTGAAAGCTTTGTTCACTGATGAGCATTTTTCGGTGTTGATGATGCCAAACTAAAAATGAACATGTTAAATACAAAAGTTAGTGCCATTAACGATGGAATATAGTACATAATGGCAACTCGCAAATTTTGCATCTTTGTGCAACGCCATGGAATATTAAATAGGAATTGAAGTCTTCCTACAAAGTAAATGACAAAAAAATGAAGAAGAAGGAAAAGAAAAACCCCAACTCGTTTGAGAGAAATTATAAAAGGGCGAAAATGTTTTTAATCATCGTCGAAATGCGTTGAGCGTTGGAACACAATTATCCAAAGAGCAGAAAAGATCTCTTTCTCTATGAAGGCGAAGAAAACAAAGCGCATTGAAACACAAACACCCGACCCAGTGTGTGTTGTACGAGTTACAAATTACAAAGGAGCATGTAAACAACAATGGCACTAAAAATGGTGAAATTAATACCACTTCAATAATTTTAAATGACTTTGCTACCACAAAATTAGAACTGTGCGCATTGCAAATGCCTCGACGTTGCTCCCTCGTTCCACTTTATCTCTTTCTCTTTCCCTTACTCCCTGTGTGTATGCATTGCCGATGTACACATGCCTCTTCCCTTCATTATGTGTGCTTTGTGCTTGACAGCGGACGAACTCTTTATTTTTCTACCCAACACATCCTTTTTTGCTTATTATCCAACATTGTATTTTTGATCGGTGCAAGCTAAAGTTTTTAGTGCCGAATGTAGTGAACATAAAAGCGGTTCTCCAACCCGTGTTTTGTGTGTGCTCGCTCGAATCACTTGTTTTCTCCTTCTTCTCCTCTGCCATGGTTTCAATGATACACAGACCAATTCAAAACTGCGAAACTAGTGAGGCAATGTCATGTGAAACGAGGCGAGAGAGAGAGAACGACATGGCGACGATACAACTCGCGCTAACTGAGAAAAATGACGAAAAACGTTAAGTGACAATGCCGTTACTTTGGCCAAAAGTTTTTCGACAACTCTGGTTTATGTACGTGTAATAAATGTATGGGATTGAAAATTGGAAGAAAAATCAGCAGTTTTGTGCACACGACAAAGACAATAGCGACAAAACGAGCGCGAGCGCGAGCGCGAGCGCTAGCTCACACCCCGTACAACTCTACACGTTCTTGAATGCCGGCACTGTTGAGAGAAACTTCAAAGTATTACAATGAATAGTTGCATACACAAAGCCAAACGCAATAGATAAAGTGGAACAGAGGAAGCGAACGTGGGCAAGGCAGCAATGAAACACACTGACTGTGTTGTAATGCCGCACAACCAAAACTGCGTTGAACAAAAGAAAAACTTTCGGCGAAAATTATACATAGTGATTGTAACAATTCACACGCTTATCGAGTTTAAAATAAGAGGATACGTTCGCTCCCCTTATTCTCTCTGGGTCGTGGATTTGACGCCGAAATGCAGACCACCATAAAATTGAATGACTGCAAAATTTACCCGTTACAAGCGTAAACGATGCACTTCAATTCGTTCGTATAACGTTGAAAATTGAATACATTCGTTTTTTGGGCGAAAGCTAATTGAACTTACCTGTATAGAGCATTAGGAATAGCAGCGCCAGGCCAATTGACGCCATTTTGTTGTACATGGTTGTTGGTCTATCAGGGCGTTCCTCTTTTCACTGCGACAAAAAAAAAATCTGTTACCAACCGTCTATATAGTCTGTGAATCTTATTTCGTTTGCTGTTTTCTCTTGTCTTGTCTGTTCTGTCTTTTTTTGTTTTGCTGTTGTTGTTCGACTCGTTGTCGAAAATGTGCAGACTCTTAACGCGACTGCGACACAATTGAGTATGTCAAGCGGGTCGTGTTCCACTTCATTTACACTTTGAGAAGAAAAGAAAAAAAGCTTTATTTTTATTCCATTTAACAAAAGGTAAACCGTTTTGAGTGCTTGCTCTTGTACGCTGTCGTTGAAAGGGTTTTTGAAATAATAGCAAATTTTCGTCGTCTGTTTTTTTTCCCTTATTTGACTAAGTGTGCTTTTAAGATGCTCACAAATGGAGTTCCATTCGTGAATTTGCTAAATTCAACAAACACTTTTGTGTCAATCGATCGATCGTGCGCGTGGGCTATAATCATTTGATTGGGATGAACTGAAGTAATTGTAAACTGACGCTTAAAAAGTATTTGATTAATTTGTTTGACGTTACTCTGGTCAAGTCGTGTCTGTTATTGTTGTTGTTGTTTATTTGCAATTACACTCTCCACGGAATTGATTAAGTTTGGGCAATTTTTTTGCTTGCTTGCTTCCGTTGTATGAACTATATATCCAGTACAAAAACTCAACAGCTTTATTTCAGTTTTACATTGCGATTCACTTCGGAAAATATTGCGAACCCGTGAGTACCAGTTTCATCAAAATGTAACTGTAAAGTTTTAAGTGATTTCATTTAGTTTGGACCGGTTTTAAATTGCAAACGTCTGCTATATCAGTTCCTTTGCCACCCGATATATAAATCCTTTTGAAGTGTCCTTTTTATTCACAAAATTGCACTGTGTCTGCTTCACACGTTGACGTGTATTTTAATTTCTCAACGCTCTCCGATGAGTTCGTTTGTCATTCGGTGGCTTCCGACAGTTTAACGTGTTCATACGTTGATGATAACTCAACATTTACAATTTTTAGCTCTGCTGTGGGCACACGAACAACTGGCAATTGTCTGTGGTTTCCTTTCTTTTTCGCTTCACTTTAAATGTGCCACAAAGCGGTGCTCGTTGCTCTGCACAACTCTTGTTCCCGCATACAAAAATTCAAAGATAGAGAGTGTCTGAAATTGCCTCAATTTCCACAGTTATATACTCAATTAAACGCAAAACTGAAATTGCACTGCATTAAACAAGTACAAGCGACGGGGTAGATTCCCATAGATAATTGATTCAACGGGTTTTTCCTATCGTGAATATCGTCGCACCATTGTCGTCTTCATCATCATTTATATCGGCGGAACGGGTTCTTTTCGGGGGCTATGTAACGTTTTATGTTATTACAGACTTTAGTCATGCAATTTTCCCTTCCGTACAGAGCATTTCATTTGGTGAAATGTATCGTTGTTACGATGTCAGGAGTACTTTGCGATCTCTCTTTTTTTTTGTTCGGGTCGCTCGTGTTCGTGTGAAACTTAAGCGTGGGACATGCAAAACGTGGCCACTTTTTGAACCGTATGATGCGGATTTTCAGTAGAACTCTCCTCACGTTTCTCTTCCTCTGTTCGGGTCACGGCTATAAAACGGAAAAGAGAAAGAGAAAAAAAAGAGTTAAAATCAATTGATGCAGTTTTTTTTCATCTGCAGCTCAGGCGAATGAGCAATGAAAGCAATGGGAAAAATGAATGATGAGTGCTTTTATTGACGCAGTTTTTCGTGTGCTCGCTGTCGCTTTAATATAAATGGGGTTAAAACACAGTAGCCTCTGGTCATTCAATCAAATTGAATGTATCCAATGTCACAGTTTTTCATCTAAGCCCACGCGCCCGTTTCCAATATCACCGACTAACCGATCGACTCGAATTTGATTAAATGCTGCAGAGTGGAAAAAAAACAACCGAACCAGTCACTTCGTTTCGGATTGGTGTTTCCGCTACGTTTACATGGCTGGTATATTGCGTTTTCGCTATTTGAACATCAAGCTAATACACTTGATTGCTATTTATTCGCTACAATTTTCCAATTTGCTCATACACACCGCCTCGAAATCGATACGTTCATAAAATTGTTCCATCAATTTTCAGGAAAAAAAATCAATACCGAACGAATACTAATGGAATAAAAACAGGCTGAAAATTAGCTCAAGTCTATTTAAACTAGAAATATTCCATTTCAAATGACCGGTTTTCAATTTGAAATTTCATGCAATGTATACAGTCATATGTAAACTCCGATGTGTTGTACACACAGCACAATAATTGATTGCAGTTAACAATCTTTGTTTTTATGCTGCCCATCAAATCACATAAACGTTCGATAAGTGGTTGAAGTTCACTTCGATACATTTTCAAATTGAACGGACTTTTCAGCAATGATTTTTTTCCCTACACTAACTCAATTCGATAATAATCATTTTGAAGGGTTGTTCATCTACCCATCTCATTATTTTGTTTGACCATTGTTCATTGATATGAGTGCTTTTTTCTCTACCTTTTTGCTATCCGTTTAAATTGTGGAAATCGAATTAAAATTAACGTTAATTAAATTCATTACAACATTTTCATATTATGTTTATAACTCATGGTCAGTCAAACTACCGGGTTACTCTTTGTATTTTGCAATATTTGATTTCAATTAAAACAGTACACACTTGATAGACTGCAACTGGACACGTTTAAACTCAGTTTTTAATATCCAATGGAAAAATTGCACTGACTCTTGAAAAAGTGTGTTCGACGCGTTTTCTCATGACATTGGTTCACTTGAAAGCCTGAAATCATACAAGTTTCTCCTTACAATTTCGGCTCTTTTCAAATGTAGCATATTTTCTGACATTTTTTTCATTTCAGAACCAACACTGATTAATTTACAACTTCGTGGAACTTCATTCTGAATGCAATTTATTCCTTATTTGAGCAGCAATATGAATGGCTTCTGACCTTTCCGAAAGGTTGATAGAGAATTTTTACTCGGCGGAAATGGTTAATATAGCCGTAGATAGAGAATGAGAATTCATACGACAACTGGAAGATTACTCTAGATGATGTCGTCTCAATGTTTCAACTTACGATCACCAGAGAAGATAAAAGTAGGTTCGCAAAATGGAAGTATCATCACTTGAAGAGCTATATTTCTCAACCAAACGTCCTAGATAGCTATTTTCGAGTGATGATACTTCCAAATTCGATGATATTTGACCAAAGACCTCAAAAAAAATTAGTCGTCTTGCAAAATTACTATTTGAAAAAGGAATTCAAGTTTAGCTATATGTGGTTTCAAAGCTGACTTCCACAGCTAAGAAATGCGTGCTATAAGATCCAAGGGGCGAATCACCGCTGAAAAGTCATTTTCAGTGATTTTCAGTGCCTTTGAGTCTTTTTCAGTGTTTTTAGTCTTTTCAGTCTTCAGTCATTTTCCATATATATTTGCCGCTAAAAAGTCATCCCAAGTGTCATATTGAAGTGAAGATAAGTGAGAGTTCTTTGTTGACATTTGCTAGTTTTCTAGACAATAAACAATCGATTTTCACGCACCATATTTGTTCAAAAAATACTGTCCTTGTGATGAATATCCATATTGCCTTTAAAGTCACATATAATTGAATTATTTTTCTCATTTTGTGCGTTTGTTGCAAAGTATTCCATTGGTGCCAAATAACGCAAACCATCGTTGGACTTTGCACCAATAATTTTTTTCTTCTACATGTTCGACTACTCCAATATTGGAATACAATCACTAGAAATCTGAACGAATTTGAATCAGGCGCATAAACATTACCAATGTAACTGTTGTCAATTATTGGATGATTTATGCCGGTCATTTTTTATCTAGATAAAATAGTTGATGCATCGGTGCGAATTAAGTTTTTGCTTTGATTAACGACCGAGCTATCTAAATTTTCAGACGTGATATGGCTTCTCGAATATTGCACAATGCACATGCTAGAAGAATAAATAAATATTTTTTCTATGACTATTGTTATATCACTCGCTATTTGCTTCCAAAAATATTCGTTTGCTTCTTTTTTGCTTGTGAAAACACAACCAAATAGCATGTTTTTAGATCATTTTTTGACATTTCAGCCATTTTCCCTTCGAATTTTGCGAGCCTTTTTTTTATCTTCTCTGACGATCACATACACGAATCATAATTGAATTCGACGAAGACACTTTACTGTCACATCCATCTGATTTGTCTTTGTTTCTTTCTTTAATCTACAACTTGAAGGCATGTAGGACATAGTTTCATAATTTAGTTTGAATTAAATAAATTAATTTTGATTCTTCAATAATATAAATAAAATAAGCATTGAAATTGATAATCCACCATATTCTTGTTGTCATTTTATTGAGTTTGTACTGTAAAAAAAACCATTGTGATGTGGTTCGTCTATCGTTTTGATTATTCGGCTTTCCGATTTGTTTTCAATGCAAAAACAATCCAGGATTTACGAGGAAAAAAATGTTTATTTCCATCAATGGAAGTTGAATATTTTGTTGTTGTTGTGGGTTTATTTCGAGAATTTCAGCAAAACATTCACGAATATTCGTACCACAAAAAGCACAGAGAGCGAACAACAGCGAATTTAATTAAAAATCTCGCATGGCGACAATGGTGGAGTGAAACACATTCAATGCTATTGATGTGGATAGATTCAATAACAATGTCCAGAGTGAGTGAGTGAGTGAGTGAGAGAGAGTTAGCGACCATATGAATCATTACTTGTGCACGTCATTCGTTGGAGCCGACCAGTCATATGCAGAACACAATACGGTTTGGCACATGTAGCGATGTTCTGCCATTTAAAAGTAGTTTTACGCAGAGAAACACCAACCACAGCAGCAACGACAAAAACGTCATATTCTCAATTTTGTACGGAGACAAACAAACGAATTCGCCGTTTTCAGCGGGACATGTTTCATAATTTAGATGGGGGAAACAAAATGTTAACAAAAACCAGCAACTGTTATTTGTTTCTCTCGATTCGATGCAGTTTTTTTTTCATTTGGTCAAAATATTTGTGAAACATGAGCGCTCACTACTCATACACACTGGATGAAGCGGTAACAATAACAATCGACGAAAAAAAATGTAATCGAATTCAACGTTGGTGCTGTGTGACCAAAGCGGCTGCTGCTACACTTGTATAACGTGCAAATAGAATGCAATATTTGTTTGTTTGTTGTTGCCATTTTTCTTGTGTGTCATTTGTAACATGGATGGCGATGTCAAAATATGGACAATTGCAGTGACAAGTAAGAAATATATAAATTGAAACGTAGAAAAACGAAGAGCAGCCGGCAAAAAAGAGAGAGAAGGAGAGCGCGGCAAGTGTGCTCGCTTTGATGCTACAGCAAAAAATCGTGCTGCAGATATTGTGATTTGACAAGAGGAAAACATCGACGAGTGTAGCGTTGCACAATATCCGGCTTTGTTATTCCGTTCGTTGCCCGTGGATAAAGTGCAAAGCTAATAGAATTTCATTGTATTTACAAAATGATATTTTATATAAATATTCCATGGAAAAGTGCAGACTGCACAACAGCGGCACCAGCAGCAAGCGTTAACAAGTGAAGCAAACAGAGCTTACACATACACACAACACATCTATATGTGAACTAAATAAATAACAAATATTTTTCATTTTCGCAATTCGATTTATCCCTCTTCATTCTCGACTTTTCTGGATTTAGCAACGGAAATTGATACACTACAAACCGATATTTATTTGAACAGAAAATGTGGCAACCAAATCGTGAACTAAAAACCGACACAAAAAATGTGCACCAAACTGAATTGCAACTCATGTTTCCAGTATAGGTTTGTCGAAAAATGGAAGAAAAAACCAAGAAAATCGAGAAAAGGTCAATGTTTCAAAAAGTTTTTTTTTTGCTTATTTTAACAATTTTGGCTTCTTATCCACGATGATGTCGCTTAAATAGGGCCATTTTAAAAGCCGGAGATTTTCATTCATTCTCAGCTCATGAGAATCTTGCTTTGCTGAATTTTTAATGTTACTGCTCTTTGTAACCCTTTGAACATTTTTGCAACCCATTTTCTTCCATCTCGTAGTTCATGTTAGATTTTTTAAAAAAATTCAACGAAACTTGTTCTTGTATAAATCACGTCAATTGTTGACGGTTTGCAAATCTTTTTCATATTTTTTCCCTTGCAATGTTTTTCTTCCACCCTTTTGAAATGACTGAAATTCGAGCAATTTTGATGTGGATGCGTTTGTATCCGCTTGGAAATGATAATAAAAGTGGATGGAAAATGTTATTTCTAATGCAGTAGCGTTTTGCTTCATGGCATACACTTGACGGCGGACATTTTTATTTCATCTATAATTTTAGTTGATTACGTTGCAACTAAAGACGAAGAAGAAGTCAAGAGATGAGAAAGAGAAAAAAACTGCGTCGCACATTTTCCGCTGTCGAACATGGATTTTTGATCATTTCATAACGACGAACTGAACGAATTAGGGGTAAAATACATGTTGCTGCTTCTGCATCGGCTGCTGCTGCTGCTGCTGTGTATTCAGTGCAATTTCCTTGATAGTTTATTATTTTGATGCAG